CACGTTAGTCGTCTGCCCAATGTTTCCTTCCGTTTGAAGGATGTGCGCCCACTTCATCAGCGCGTAATTCCATAACACAATGAATAGAACGCCGATTTCGTGTCTATGTGTGCCGAGAAGAGCATACGCGTCGAGTGAATGTGGTTAGTCGTGATGAGAGACGAAGATTTTAGAATGCTTCGGCGACGGATTTGTAACGGAAGGAAGGAAAAAGTGGATGTGGGGGTTGAGTTATACAAAATAATGAGGAAAAATATGAAAAATAAATTTTTAGTCTCCACCCTTCTCTCTGCCTTCAGTAGAAGTTTTATACGGGAACAAGAGAGGAAAGGAAAGGAGACATGGGGAAGGAATGGGATAGTGTGCTAAAATTTCCTTTTTAAGGATGAAATCTGGAATTTTGTTCAAACTACGCAACTTTGAGCACTATTTATGTGCACAATTCAGTTATCTAAGTAAAACTTCCATACCTTTTTTTCCTAGGTCCTCTTGAGGTGGAGAAATAATCAAGCACCAACTGGCTCCACACCTAACTCTGTGCTCCATTATTTTTTTTTCCAGAGGAAGAAGTCGACGAGCGAAAACGAAGTCAACATCATCGGATGGTATCCTAACGGCTGGAGATAACCTATGGACTTATAATTCAATGAAGAACTCGAGCTCGGTAAGTTCTGCAGTTGAGCCACTTCGGTAAACTATGGTTATGTCGTATTCTTATAATTATTGGAGAATATTTTGATAATTGTGAGGTTTACGAAAGACCAATTTTCTACTTTTTGCGTTGGGTCATTTAAAAGGATGTGAGAGCCATTAGTCCTCTTTTTTTTTGCTTTTGGCATAATTCAACATATTTAAATCCCCAACCGTATTTTTTTTCTTAACAGCAGTTTTTTGGTTACATCTAAAAATCTTTTTTGAAGGGTTCTGCTGGAGTTCTCGTTTACAATGGCATATCTCACAATGCTGCCTATCAGAATACGCCAGCAACTATAAGGTAAGCATCATAAAAAGCTATTTTGACCTTGTTCGAGCAGACCGCACGAGAAATACGAGCAACAGTTTCTCAGCTCTGGTTTCGCACTGCTCAGTTTTTATGACGTGCTCATAAATTTCGTAGTCTGTCCTGGGTATCCGTGCTGTTCGTTCGGTTGGAAATATGGCGAGCTTGCGGGCGCCAAGCGGTGATCCATCATGATTACGGTAATGCGGGGTCACCGTGATGGTGAAAATTTGCGGGGATGA